CATTTCTGATGATTATTATTCATCTTATTTGTAATGAGTTTGTCTTTTTGTTCTTAATTATCCTGCAGAGCAGAGCTGGCTTTTGTTTAATTTAAGTATTTAAGGAAAGTACTTCTGTCCACAGAACAAACTTGAAGCCCAGAGGTTTACCTATGAGGGTTGTTTTAGTACCAGCGTGGGATGATTGAGCAAAGCTGGACCTCAGGGTGCAAGTTACACACGGGTTTGGTTGTTGGTGAGCTCAGTTACAAACATTTGTGAATATTTTTCTGCGTGGATGTGAAAATCGTCGGGTTTTACTCTTGTGGCAAACTGGCAGGTGGTTCCGTCCAAACTCCTCCAAGCAGCAAAAACAAACTGGTGACGTGTCGACTCCTGTGATGCAAAGCAGAGGTGGGTTCTGCTGGTGCACACATCTGAATGTCAAACAGATTAAAAGCAATGAACTGGTGCAGTGTAGTTTCCTGCTCAGTGGGAGCCAGAGTCCAGCCGTCTGCTGGGTTTGTTTAGAGTTTAGCAGTAAACATGAATGAATGAAATTAAATGAAAAATACTTTATTTATCCCAGAAGGGAAATTCAGTAAACATCTCCTGTAGCTACAGTTACAGTTTCTCTATGCTGCTCTTTTAGCATTCAAACATATTTCTGTCCATATTTTACTCTATTTGGTAAAATGAAAACATGTCGAGCACATTTTGTTTCACCATCATTAGATTGACTGAACACAGAGTCACAGCTACATTTGCTTTTTAATGAGATAAATTCACACGTCATTACGTCACATACACATCTGTACACTCAACCCCTGGAGTCTTGTCAGTCTGACACAGCAGGTCCTATATCTCGGCGATCGCTGGTAGTATCGGGGCCTTCAACCTTCTGGACTGTCTGCAGGTGACGCGACAGCCGGACACCCGGACCTTCACCACAGCCGTCTGTCTGTCCGTCTGTCTGCTGCCACCGTCGGCCGTCTGCTTTGCTTTGTCAGTCTTTGCTTCAGAGACCGTCTCTCTGGCCTCGGCCCTCATGCTGGCCAGGAACAGATCCCGTCTGGTCCGGAGCTCCTTGGGGAAAAGTTCGGCTCCGTTTAAAGCCTGATTTCTGTCCGAACAGTTTCCAGGTTGCGCCCTGGTTGTCGTCCCTTCCTCCAGCCAACCTCCTCGGAGCAGCCGGGCGGCGGTGAGGAAGGAGTCCGTCTGCCCGGATGCGTCTGACACCAAACCCCGGCCAGGAGGCTGGTTCTCCGGCTTACTGCTGCCCTCCATCCCTCTGCTGCTGCAATACAGGAGATACTGAGAGAGTAAAGGGCTGAAATTCACACGATTAAAGCCTTCGATGATATGAAACTGTATCGGATGAGATGAGTGAGTTCAGTGTCTTAGGGCCACTCCATCTCAAATAATCAGTTTCTGCCACCTTCTCGTGATCTCTAACTCATTATGGGATGTATTTATCAAGACATTTGCTTACTTTGTTTTTTCTTTTAACTTACCCATCAACCCACTTTTATGTTTTTTACAGGCGTTAAAATTTGAAGCTGTGTTTGAGTGACAGTATCTCAGGAGCTGATCCACTAACTTGGCTGTCAGCTGATGAGAGCGCAACAGGAACAACTCTCTGTTTATTAAATATGTCACGTTAAACACTATTCTATGTGTTTTGTTTTGTATTATTTTGGCGTGCAGCTGCATAAGGTGTATTCTAGATTCTGCTCAAAAAAAGTGCTTTTTTTGAAACCTTCTGTTTATTTCAAGTCCCCCGTTTTCAGAAATCATTTGATTTATGTGTCTAATATTGCAGATTTTGAATCAACGACACAAACAGCGAAAACTTCAGGCTTTTATCTTGAACAGTTCCTGAGATGTTGTCGTTTCAATTTTTAGAAAGATTTCACAGATATCGTTCTAAATATCTGCAGTTTATGATAAAAAGAGTTTCAAGCAAATCAGACGTAGCTGAGCAGAAGGTTCCTTATGGGTTAAAAGAACTTTGTGAAGGCGGAGAAGAAGAAAAAAGAGCGTAAATCCTGTTATTTATCGATCTGGCAGACGTTAGTGTCACATGTTTGACCTCCTGGTAGAAGTATGTTTGGTCCAGTGTTACTCCAAGCTTTTCTGTCCAGTAAGAATTCGATCTGAATGCTAAGTGCCAACATGAACCAATCGTCATCCAGCTCTGCGTAGCTCCGCCCCCTCCCTGCTTCCAGGTGAACCATTCAAACTGAGCAGCTGCCTCACCTTCCCTCTGCTTTGTTTATGTTCTCTGGCTACTCTGAAAGGTCTGAACCACCATCAAAACACACCCAATGTCCTGCTGCTGGCTGCAAGAGTGAACACAAGAGTCTCGGTGCACTGCCAGCATCTGACTGAATGAAGACCCAGTGGGTTACTGTCATTACTAACGGCAACGTCCCCAGGAACATTCTTAATGTCAGCATGTTGCACAGCTAGTGCAGCTAGCATTAGCTTTAAATGTGAAACTGTAATTTTAGACCAGTAAACAAGGACTGGCTGGGCTGCTGTGTTCATGTGTTGCCAGTTGTGCGTCGTTTCAGCCTAAACTCATTCATGGTGGCTGTTTTTCACCACGTTTCCAGTCACAGGCTCGGAGAGAGTCTTCTTCCTGAAGCTGCATTTAAAGCTAAAGACACTGAAAAAGCCCATTTAGTACAGTCCCAGGCACCATGTGGGGCCTTCAAACTGCTGTCCAACGCTACACAGAGGCATCTAAAGAAACTCCAAATCGCTCAGAGCAGAGCTGCTAGAGTTGTGCTTCACTGTTCTTTTCAAACAAATGAGTGAGATGCACAAGAAGCTGTCCTGTTACCAGTAGAGGCTAAATTACAAGCCAGTCTTTTAATGTTCATGCATAAAGTTTTGGCAAAGAGAGAGCCCAGATTTTGAACCAAAAAACTCTTATTCGTTGGGTTTTGTCACAATTATGTGACTCGCCGAGTGACCTCAAGTGCTTTGGTCGCCCCCAGGCCCAAAACCAACGTCATGAAAAGAACTACTGGTTTCAGAGGAGTAAAAGCATGAGACTCACTTTCTTTACAGATCAGAGACATTATAAATATCGGCTCTTTTAAGAGGAAAATATCGGGACAACTGGCACAGAACACGTGAGAATTCTTCCTCTGTATTGATGTTGTATTAACAGTGTTGTGTCAACGTTCCTTTAATGTAATCCATCTACTGCTTTGTACCGGGTTGCTTTATAAATCAAATGTTTGCTATTTATTATGTATTTTTAATGTTTTGTAAATTGTGATATTTATTTTTACGCTGGGACCCCAGGAACCACTCTGTGGGAGCGAACGGGGATCCTAACAAAGAATGAAGTGGCAGCTGCATGTACGTGCATCGGTTCTCCAGCAGGGGGAGGCAGAGCTCCTGTGTGAGAGCAACACAGACCTCAAAGAACCTTGGCTCCAGTGCAAATGAACCAACTCACCTGAATGAAGCGGTGGCTGCTGGAGCTGCTGGAGGCGCTGACAGGAGTAAAAAGAAGTGTGGAGAGCCTGAAAGCAG